TTATTACAAATCCCCCTCTCACTACAAATAAGTCATCCAAACAAACATCTCACTACAAACAAGTCATCCCGGTTACAAATCAACATCTCACTACTTCTCTAGTAAGGGTAAGACTGACTTGATCTCCATGATCAAAAGAGCATAAAGGCATTCATATTACTACTTCTCCAGTAAGGGTAAGACTGATTTGATCTCCATGATCAAAAGGGTATAATCATTCATACATGTCATATTGGCTTAAACATTAAATTTCTTCATATATTGGCTTTATTTGTATTTTATGATATATAGTAATTTATTTAATGTGTTCATGATATTCAACACTGCAGATTTAGACAGGATCTCATACAGGAACGTTGAGGCCAAAACACAAATGGCCAAAAGCCAAAACATAAATGGCTAAAACAGAACAGCTTACACATGACACCAATACATGGCGAGGCAGACATTCTGAGAAGGTTAAGGAACGTTGAGGCCAAAACACAAATGGCCAAAAGCCAAAACACAAATGACCAAAACAGAACAGCTTACACATGACACCAATACATGGCGAGGCAGACATCCTGAGAAGGTTAAGGAACGTTGAGGCCATAACACAAATGGCCAAAAGTCAAAACACAAATGGCCAAAACAAAACAGCTTACACATGGCACCAACAGTTGTTGCACCCTAAAATCAGGCCAATTTCTCACCCTTTATTTCCTTTTTCTATATTTTTCTTTGAGTAATTTATTTATTATTTTTACTAACAATTAATTAATTTTCTTTTTTATCAAAAATCACAAAAATGTTTTTTACCCAATTAAATTTCAGAATTTTATTTTTTATTAATAAATATTAATTAATTTAATTAGGATATTAATTTTAGGTAACTTTCATTTGTTTTGTAAATATTTAAAATCAATTAGAATAAATAGGTTTTATGGCTAACTTAATTATTTTATTTCTTTCCTAAAATAACAAAAACTCCAAAAATATGCCATTTAATATTTTTTATTAATTAATTTATTTAATAATTAATTTAGCAGTTAATTTTAGAATTTGATTTCTTTTCTTAAAAAATAAATAAAAACAACAAAAATATTTTTTTTCCTTAATTAGGATAGGAGGGTCAAAACCCTAGTTTCGCTTTCGATTCAATTTCTCGCGCATTTTATTTATTTATTCGAATTATTGTATCTGCTCCCGGATTGTATTAATTTTTAATTAAGACATTTACTTTTTCTGCTTTTATTTTCCAAGGGTTGCTTTTGGCGATGTAAATACCCGACGCCTTGTAATAATTTAGTTTAAATTCCGCACTTTTAATTTCTGCAAATATTCAACTGCTAGATGTTTGGTAATAGGGTTTGCATGACAAGAATGAATGTCTAATTTAAAACAGTTAGATCACCCTTAACATGTGCAAAGATAAAATTGACTGAAAACGACACACTCGCACATGCGCACTCTTAGGGTACACCTCACTTGGTTGCCTTCGTACGCGGTCATTGAGTATAGGAAGTTTTAGAGGTCGCCTTCTTGTCCAAAGATCATAGTTGCCTCGAAACGGTTGCCTTGGATAAATGGTCTAAGACATTAGGGTTACCGCTAAGGCGTCCTACCATTGCTTTGGTGACCGCATGTCCCTTATTCGAATTGACCCTTAAACTCCAACGACGGTGCTACCTACTCATTCATAGTGGGATAGCATTGTCTAAAGGACATTAGCACAGATTGATTCCTTTTTCGAGTAGGTAGATGGTTCTTAAGTACTTACTCTTTCAAAAAAACAAAAAATCTTGTTCACACCTACACTTTTCAAACAAAGACTTTTTTCAAAACCCACAAACACAAAGAAAGCAAAATTTTGAAAACAATATGAGCAAGTACCTAAGAGTCCGTGGATAACCACGGATAGAAAGGGTGCTAACACCTTCCCTTTCTATAATCTACCCCCCGAACCCGAGAAATATCTCAAAAATGAATTTTTCTGTGCTTTTTTCCTTTCCTTGTTGGATAAAATAAAAGACGGTGGTGACTCTTGCTTACCGCGACATTTTGCAAAAACAAACGCAAAACGCGAACCAGCATTCCAAAAAACAGTCAGTTCTTTCCCACTGTATCACAGAGTCCATTTAGATATTAGTAACAATGTCCTTTAGTCCACTCTATACAGAATCAAATATAAATAAAATGTTACTATAATAATAAGCTTCAATTAACAAAATGAAGTTTATATGACTCATAACTGTTGCAGAACAGATCCTGTTCAGCACTTGCACATCTCGGTTCATCATTTATGACATTCGGTACAGCCACTGCGCACCTCGGTTCTCCACATGGATGGTGTTTTATTTTACTTTTTGTTTTTCATGTGTTTTAATATTTGCCAACATTTTCAGGTTATAGGAATTGATTTAAGTTTATTGAAGTTGGTAATATAAGGAGTACCACCTTTGATATTGTGCGTACCTGATTGCAATCATGGGATACATTGAAAATAGTCCGGGAGAGAAGGCTATGCGAATTTCGTGTGACAGGTAAAAAAAGATGTTAATTTCTTCTTGATTTTGAGCAACAAGCGTGCGTTAGTCGGTATTACCCCAGATAAACATCCTTTTGGTGGTCAAGATGTAGATGCTTCATCTCTGGGAAGGGCGATGTCGGAAGTCTTAGAAATTAGGTTGCATGGTAACAAGAATGTCAATGAGATAAACTTTGATATACCAATGATGCTCCCTCTAATTGACGTGTGTAATCATAGTTTCAATCCAAATGCTAGAATTATTCAGGAACTTTTTAACTGATAGCACAAACATGCTAGAATTGACCTGTGTATTGATTTCATTCATTTCTTATGATTCTAATCTTTGCATTAGGTTATGGTTGAGAAAGTGATTAAGTAAGATGACTCTTTATTACTCTGCTACGGATGTTTAAACAATGATCTTTTCCTTCTTGATTACAGATTCATGATACAATCACACCCTTATGATTGTATCAAACTCAACTATGATGGTGCTCTTTTGGAAGCAGCAAGCACGACAGTTAGAGTTTCTTCATCAAATTTCTTCATCATTATGTCCATAGTTATTAATCCCGGATAGCAGAGCGGAGCGGTTGACCCCCGGGAATGGGAAAAGTGGGAATAGCGGGATCCCGGATAGCGGGATAACTTTTTATATACTAATAATTACATAATAATCTATAAAATATATGTCATGTAACACTAAACTAATTTCACAACACTCATAAAATATTTATAAAATCTAATGTCAAACAAAGAACAATGCTTAATCAAGATTCAAAACATAAAGATTCAAATTCAAACTTAGTACTATCATATGAAAATTCAAGAAAATATAGAAATCATGTAGCATCATCAAAATATTCCTCCAATTCTTCATCTTCAACTTCTTCAGCATCTTCCTCTAATTCTTCATCTTCATCTTCTTCAACATCTTCCACCACTTGTTGTGCCATTGGTGCTCTAGGTATCATTGTTGCTCTTGGTGAAATTGTTGCTATAGGTGTCGTTGTTGCTTGAGAAGTACTTCCAACTTCAAGTTGCCTTGTTGTCCTCCTAATGTAGATCATAGGTTCATTAGCCCCACTAGCATCGGCAACTTGACTCCAAGTTAAATCATGATTTGGATGAACCAAGTCTTCACCATCATCTCCTACATTTTCCATCTCTCCCACCAACTATTTGGTGTGGAAATTAATTTCGTTAAATTCCATAGGATCAATTTTATCCCGAATTTCAAACCTCTCTACCAAAGCTTGATTATACTTGATAAACACCAAGTCTTGCAATCTTTGATGTTCCAATTTATTTCTCTTCTTAGAATGAATCTAAAATACAATAATTTGAAGTATTAATTTAATAATACTTGCATGTAAGATACTTTAATATCCTAGTAAAAAATTAATACTCACATGCTCAAAGATGCTCCAGTTACGCTCACATCCGGAAGCACTGCAACTCAAACTCAACACTTTAACAACCAACAATTGCAACTCCAGAGTTTCGGCTCCATAAGACTTCCACCACTCAGCTGCAAGTAATTGTAAAAAATCATTCCATTTCCATATACATAACACAAAGTGTATCATATGTAAAAAATCAAAAAAACATTCCATCTTACCTGGAGCTAATGTCGACCTTTGTCTAATTTCCGCTCTTATACCAAAGAGACCTGTAGCACCCCTGTATTGTGATAATTGTTCTGAAATCAAATCTTCCACTGCATAACTTTCACTAAGTGTCTCAATGCACTTACGGAGGCCTCTCACCAATCTACCATTATTCTTAATTTCTAGTTTAGAATAATAATATTCAGAATTGAAATAGTGACCTGCAGAATGTAGCGGATGATGAAGTTGACACTCCCATCTTTTATCAATGATTTCAAATACGGCTTCATACTTTCTTGAATTTGAACTAAAAGCTTTCTCAATTGATTCCTTCGCTACCCCCATTGCGGCATATATGTATCCCATTGTGGGTTTCCTTTCATTATCAACCATTCTTAGCACATCTACAAGAGGCGCCGTGCACTTAAGAGTGTAGAGAACATCATTCCAAAACGATGTTGTAAGTATAGTAGTAGCTGCACTTTGTCCTTTAGCATCTTTGGCACACTTGGAACTCGTCCATTCTTCACAAAGGAACATCTCCCTAAGCTTTCCTTTTAGTTCTTGCATCCTTTGTAGACAAAGGAAATGGGTAGCAAACCTTGTCACTCCTTGTTTAACCAATTCAACATTACCGGTAGTCTTTCTCATTAGATTCAAAGCAAAAGTATGATTATAAATGTAGCCCACAACCTTAACCCCTTTTGTATAACCTTTTGAACCTTTGGAATTTTGCCTATGTCTTCTAACATAAGGTCTATACAATGGGCAGCACGTGGAGTCCAAAACATGTGAGGCCTCCTCAAACATAATTCTTTACCCGCCGATACATAGTTACTTCAATTATCGGTAATCAATTGAACAACGTTTTTTTCACCCATTTACTCAATAAAAGTGTCCAACAACTCGGCTAGTTTTTTCTCCGTCTTGGCATAGTTAGAAGCATCAACACTTTTCACAAACATGGTCCCCGTCGGATAATTGACCAAGAAATTTGTCAATGTTCTACCTTTTCTATTCGTCCAACCATCCGACATAATTGAACATCCATATTTATTCCTTTGCACCTCTTGGTTTTTTAACAAACCTTTTGTATATTCCAACTCATTTCGAAGGATTGAAACCCTGAGTTCATGATAACTTGGCGGTTTCAAATGAGGACCATAACTTCCAACGGCTTCCAACATCAACTTAAAAGCTCTTGCATTTGCTACGTTAAAAGCAACTCCATACGTATAAAAAAAGCGACCAATATATCGGATGGTTCTTGCCCTTGCTTCTTTATCACACGCATCATTGATGCTTGTGTCCTTACTCTTCTTATACACCAAATCCAACGGCCCCTTAGTCCTCTTGACAACCATTGAAGAGGTCTCACTCTCAACCATCCTCTTTCCGGTTTGAATTCTACGTATTTCCTCAATATCAATGGTATCATCCGCATCTAATTGCACCGAAACCTCTTGTATTCCTTTCTTAATTCTCTCCTTCTCAACCATGTCCGCACGTAATATAGTCTTAACATCCTCGGGTGTTTTCGTACAAGAAACTACATCACCGGTAATTGCTAATTGATGCCTTTTGGCTCTACTTATTCCCCCACTGCTAGTTAAATTACAAAAATCACATGTCACCTTCTTCTTGTTATTCAAATCCTTCAAATGATTGTATTTCCATCATATGTCCTTACTATTGGTTGGTTTGAACGTTGGAGCACATGAAGCAACCGACGCAGAATTCGGTGTCGACGAAGAAGCTGCCATATTTACCTGAAAATAGATAATGAAACAGTATGAAAGAAGTATATTTACCCGCGGCTGGCTGAGAGTGAAACGGAGAAGTGGAACAGAGAAATGGAACGGAGAAGTCCTTGTTGGCTGCTGCTGGAACAACGGAGAAATGGAACGGAAAAGTAGAAGAAGGCTTGCGAACGGCAGAGATGTGAGACAAAAGTAGAAGAAGATGGAACGGTGGAGAAGATGTACTTGTATGTTGTTGTTGCTGGAACGGTGGAAGTGGAACAGTGGAGAAGAAATTGAAAAAATAGGGCAGAAGAAAGTGAAACGAAGAAGCAGAATGAAAATATAATATAAATTTGTTTTAAAAAGTATTTTAAAAGAGGGATAAAACAGTAATTTTGTTCAAAAAAAATACTAGGCCCGAACCGCTCCGCCCGGGAGGCGCCCGTTATCCGCGATCCGGGATAGCGGCGATAGCGCCCGCGATATTCTCTCCGTCACCGCACCCATGTGCGCGCGCGGCAGGCCTCCGCTCCGGTCTGGAGCACCGCGATAGCGGCCGCTACGAGCGCTATTAACAACTCTGACTATGTCGGGGCATCCTCAGTTGTGCGACAATCATGATCACCAACACCATCACAGTCATCCTTTTCAGCACAATGGTAAATCATCAGTTATAGTTTCCAACATTTTTATACATGTGGAAATTTGTATACACAGATGAAACTAACACAAGTTAGTTACGAATTTATCAGATATTCGGATCAGCTGGCAGGAACTTCCCTTCAGTTGAGATTACTAACAAAAATACGTCCCTCAATCATTGTATTGAATTTTTGAAATATATTAAGAACTTCAGAAGTTGTTGTGGAAGTGTGTGATTGGTCTAAAATTCCTATCTGTGTTCTTAACTGATTTCCAGCAATAGTCAAATGAGAGACTGTGGCATATGCAAGCACACCTTATTTGCTGCATAGCCAATTTTAGATTTTGTCACATACCGAAGAAAACTAACCTTGAAAACAAAAAATATTAAGGTAGATATTCAACTATATTATTCAGCTCATGCATTTATAGTGTAAAGTTTTTAATAATGAAAAAAATGTAAATATTGACATGAAACTGGTCTGGTATATGACATCACTACATCACAACTTAGAGCAATAAAATGCTTACGGGTCTTTATTATACAACCTAAGATAACTACTATTTCTTAATCAAGAAAATTTGACAGAACATTGTTTTTTTTTATATTTAGAGGCTAAAAAATCTACACCTCCAATTTCTATTTTCTTGTGGACTTTTGAGGGAGGGGCTTTCATCAACAAGTCATTGAAATAACTTACAAATGAAAATGACTATTCTTGATTACACTCTCATCTCTAATTTTCTTAGTCAATGATAACTTGTAATTATCACTAATATAGCTTATTAGCTAATCTGTTAGCTATGAAGAAACTATAAACAAAATGGCTATATAAGTAGATATACGTCATGAATTAGCCATTGGCTATTAATTGAATCTTCAAAATAAATTTTTATTTTGGAAAATATTGTTAATCTAGAAACACATTTCCACAAAATGACGCGATGATATTGGAGATTTATGATCAAATTCTTTATACCAAATATCTAGAAACCTATCAAAACGTGTAACTTTAACACTTTTTACTATGGTTGAATTTTACAGCTACATGTGTTCTTATTATGGATAACTTTTACAGCGACTCTTAGCAGGGAAAATGCTATAACATTTTGTTCAACAATAATTCCAAAACAAAAATGATATTTATATAAAAAATATATATATATTATTGATTTAAATATTTTTATGTTTTGAAAGAATTATAGATACCGATTTATCATCTCTTTTAAAAAAAATTATTTTATTTTTATTATATTTTATAAACAAATATGCGTATTATACAAGTATCCGTGTGAACACACGGGTATCCCACTGATTTAAGATACTGAAAAACTCTTTTTTTAACTATACATTTAAAATCTTAAATGTACACACGTTATGAAATTCAAAGAAGTAAATATTCCTTTGAAATGTTTTTATTTCTAAAAGTTTCATTAACTACAACTAAATCAAGAAATTGTACATTAAATTATCAGTAAAGATTAACTTTTCAACCATGATAATATTTGATTTTTGTTTAAAAAAATTAATCAAAAGAAATAAAGTATAATAGGAGAGGTAATTGGGAGAAAGAGAAGTTAAAAGAAATAGAATTATATTATTTCAAGTCTAATTTTAATTGCCCATTAATTATGACATCAGCACTCCATCTCTAGTTTCATGTACATCATAGTATTAACCCTTACATTAAAATTTGTCCTCAATTTTAATTTTTTTTTAACCTCATTATATTTTTCCTTCTCTTTTAATTTTGAGAAACCTTCTCTCTCCACTAATGTCAAGTCAAGTTGTTGTTCGTCGTCTATAAATCAAGTAGAATGCAAGTAATATGTCTCTGTGACTATCTTTTTCATGAAGTCTATCTTCATCTCTTTTAGAGTATTTGTATTTCCACTCTAGATATTGTTATTTATATTTGAAACTTAAAACTCTAATAATAATTTTCAATTTTAAAACATTTATAAATAAGTTACAGGATTTAAATTAAGTTTTTTATAAGAAACTGTTAATATTTATTTTATTTAAGGCAAATTTTTTTAAACATATGGAATGCTATGAAAACTCTATTTTAATAAAAACTTAAATAACAAATATTAAATATATGGTATTTTTATAGTGTTATTAATTTTAAACAATATTTCTATATTTTAAATATAAAAATATAAATAAAAGTGTTATGCGATATGTTATTGTAAAATTATTTTAACAATATTTTTATTTGGAATATATATATATATATATATATATATATATATATATATATATATATATATATATATATATATATATATATATATATATATATATATATATATATATATATATATATATATATATATATATATATATATATATATATATATATATTTGTAATAAATTTTTTTATATAGATGAGATTTCAAGAATTACAAATATTTGGTAAGGAAAACACTAGTTTAAAAAAAATACATCAACTTAAATATAGTTTAAGTAGATACTCACTAAAATTTACTTTAAAATATTTTAATTATTTCTATGTTTTTTTAAAATAATTTTATCAAATAAATAAAAGTGAAATTATATTGAATAGAGTTTCATAAAATGATTGTTGAGAAATATTTTATAAAAAGAAAAATGATTTTTTGTATTGAAATATTTTTAAAAATAATATTTAACAAAAAATATTATAAATGTCTTATTGAAAGAGTTTATTTAATTTTATCAAATTCATAGAATTTTAATTAATATTAAGATTTGTGATTCATGAATTGAGAATAACTATTGGGATTTGTGATTGATGAATTGAGAATAACTGTTGGTCACATGTGTATTTTGAGTAAGTTAAAATATATACCACAAATTATATTAAATATTATTTAAGTGTTATAAATGATTATTCTAGTTTCTCATGATAACCGTGTTTTCTATATTTAAATAATGACTTAGTTAATTTGATAATTATAAGTTTTTGTTTTTAAATTACTCTAATTTATATTATGAAGAGATGTGCATTTTATTTATTCACAATATCTTTGACATTAAAATTTTATATTTTTTTTATACTTAAAATTTTTTAAATTTCTGTTTTCTTTTATAGAAGCAAAATATATGGTAAAAAAAATTACAAAAAAGAGAGGCGATCAAACCAAAACACTCTCAAAAGGAAAACATATAAAAAGATAATCCTAAATTACTATTTCAAATCTGTTATAAAAAGACACATTAATAAAAATTTGAATTTGATAAAAAAAATTCTAAAATACATTTAATGAATGCATAAAGCTTTTAAGAAATTTTAGCTATAAATTAAGATCTATTGTTACACTAGTGTAGAAATGAGTTTTTATATCGGACGAAATTGACTTTTTACATCGGTTCTGGGTCCAATGTGAAAAAGACAGTTAACACATCGGTTATAAGCTAAGTCTGATTTAAAAAATAATTATAACATTTTTTTTTTAAAATGACGCAATATTTTACATCGGTGGACCGATGTAAAATATACCATTTTTACATCGATTGTGCTTTATTCCCAATGTAATAGATACAATATTGACAGTTTTTACATCGGTTGGAAGTAATGACCGGTGTAAAATGTAAGCAATTTTTTTTGAATAAATTATTTATTTTCTGGATGATTTCCTGTAAAAAAAAATGGTACCTATTTTTTCATATTTTTTTCAATATCACACAGACTATATTTAGGTCGCTATATATATGTCATAGCTTTCCAACATCACATATACCACATCTAGGTCGATATTTTCATATTTTTCACAACAAACTTACAAAGTGAACAATTGCATTGCAAACTTGAATAGTATCACAACAAACAAACTCACAACAAACTTACAAATATATATTCTTCACAAAACATACAAAAATATTCAACTATTTATAAGTCTTTTTCCAAACTTGAATTACCAATATAAAATCCACAAGTAGATGAGTTATAGTTTCGGTAGACAACACCAAAATCACATTGTCTGACAATAAATAATAACAATTAACATCAGCAAAAAATATCAAGAAACTCAATACATGTGCAAAAACCACATGTAATATGCAAAAACTCAATAATAACAATTATGTACAAAAACCACAACTTAGACAATTCTATAAAATTCACCAGATAAAGCTTAATTTTTATATAACTCAAAGAAACATTTTGCCCAACGGAGTCGCAAATCATACAAATCATCTTGTATTAATTATGTTGGTCATCAAATACCTATAATACATAAATATAACAAAAAGTAAATAACAACGTAAAGTTATTTATATTAGCTGCATCCGATTCTTGGTTATATTGGCAGAGACAATATCCAACATATTTTTCATCACATAGTACCCATAATCATTAGAGTTGTGTTGTTGCCTTGTCTACAATTGAATGACA